ACCCAACAATCATATGACCCCCTATGAGCAGCACTTTGGCGACAGTGGGAAGGAAAAACTCCCTTTTAACAGGAAGAAACCTCCTGCAGAACCAGGCTCAGGGAGGGGCGGGGCCATCTGCTGTGAGAGAAGCAAGACAGGACAAAGACGTGCTGTGGACGAGAGACAGAGCTGGAAGATTCTGGAGCGATGGAGTGATGACATGTGACCTAATCAGGCAGGAACACAGTCCTGCGTCTCCATCGATCTGTGAGATCGGTTAACAGTCACCTGATGAATTTACTGGTCACTAAAGTCTTCCTGAACAGAACCCGACGTTCTTTTTGGAAGTTACGGCCTAATTAGCTTCAGCAAAAGGAAAAAGGCCGGGCATGCTCCACAGAGGGCCGGCCTTGTGACTGACACGATGCTACTGCATGCAGCTTCGGTGAAAACAGCGCTCGAGGCCTGACGCTGACCTGAGATGACATTACTGTGGCTATGTCCACCTTTCATCCACAGTCTGTGTTTACTGCATCCGCCACCGTTTAGTTACGGCTGTTTTCCCCGGAAATAAAGTCTCCACCGAGTGATTCACATTCAAATAAAGAACAACCACAGAACTAAATTACACGACTTTGAAACTGTGAGTGTAGTCAGCATGAAGAAAGCCTCTTACTTTGCTGTAAATCATGACAAATTCAAGCTAAATGTTAATGGGAGAGATTCTGGGGAACGAGTTATTGACTCGATGTTCCTCTGGGTGATAAACACATTTATTTGCTTGTCAAAGCTTAATAACAGATAAAGTGAACTACTGGGGAAAGTAGAAAGGGAGAAAGGATTCCAGTCAGAGGGAGGCAGACAAAGCTCGGCCTTGTGACACGAAGACGTCGGGACACAGAGCAGCTCTGTGTGCACACGTCCACCAAACACACGACACATCCACACACTGCATACAAAAAAGTCCCGACTGTGTGTGTAAGAATGGAGTGTGAGTCACGAGAAGTCATGCATTCACACACACACACACACACACACACACACACACTCACACACTCGGCAACCCCCCCCAACACACACACACACACACACGCACAAACAAACACACATTTTCCAGGGATCTTAATGAGTAATACAGATCATCTCATTTCATAACATTTTGAATTCGATCACTGGTGTGCATTTCTGTCTGCACCGACTGTTGGTGAGGAAATGAGCTCAAACAAAGCAAGATCTACAGCGGCGGCACATTTGTAATGTAAAACCATCTCACTCTGTCCAGTAACCCCCACAGGGAGGTTTAAAAGAAGATGTTGGAAGCCAGAGAGTGAAAACACACCAGTTTTTCTTGGGTTTGAAAAACAGCCTGCAGAAAAAAAGCATGTGAGGCTGCTATGTCCCCGTCACTTAGATAGCTGTTTGTCTTCCCCTCTCTTCTTCTGAGTTTGCTGTATAATGCTCACTCCTTCCCTCCAAATGGTGTGCCATTTTTGGGTCCATGACCTAGCTCTGTCCTGGGTCAGGGCTGATCGAGTCAAAATGTGGAAAAAGAGCAAAAACTGCTTTAAGAGCTGGGTCAGCGGGTTTTACTGAGGTGGCTAAAAACAAATCAGGAAGTTATTATGTAAGGCAGGGGTGTCAAACTCCAGGCCTCGAGGGTCAGTGTCCTGCAGGTTTTAGATCTCACCCTGGGTCAACACACCTGAACCAATGATTAGTTCATTACCAGGCCTCTGGAGAACTTCAGGACATGCTGAGGAGGTCATTTAAATCAGACATGACATGACAGCATACAGCAGGCCTATTAAGGGACAGTTTGATGAAAGTGACCAAGAGTTTGTGATGGGTGAACACAGCATCTTGGTGACACGAGGTTCTTATTAAGTAACACTCAGGAATTTCCAGCAAAGATTTTATTCAATTTAACTTTGCATTGATTTGTTTGCTGTAGCTCAGGATGTAGAGCGGGTCATCTAGTAAGGTTCAATCCCTGGATGCTCCAACCTACTTACCAAAGTATTCTTGGGTAAGATACTGAAGTTACTCTTTGATGCATTCATCAGAGTGTGAATGTTAGATAGAAAGCACTTAGGCATAAAAAATGTTTGTATGAATGTGGGTGAATGAGGCATGGTGTATAAAGCGCTTTCAAAGCTCAAGTAGAAAAGTGCCATAGAAGAACCAGTCCATTTACTTTGCATGATTCACAGGTCAAAAGAGTCCTCAGGTCTTACTGGGTCTTTGTGCATCCGCCCTTCGTCTGAAACAAGCTGTTTTACAACCCTTCCACTGCCTTTAAGCCAACGTTCTTCTGATTGGTTGCCCCTCACAAACAAAAGAATTAAACAAATGGGGCTTCTCTTATGCTTGGGATGACCTTAGTAAGGATATCATACAGAGAGCCATGAGTAAAAAAAACAACAACAAAAAACCCCCCCTAAACTGAGTACTTAGAGCAGTCTGAAGCCTGAGCTTTTGGCTTACATGCATTATTTGTACATACGCTGAACTCATTATTTGAATTTTTGGCCATGTTTCAGATGAGCACATGCAATTGTAGCAGTAAGCCTCTGAAAGAAAATAAGAAAAAGTACAATTTTGAAATACTCTCATTCCAAGCATTCTCAAGTTAAGACCTCGCCTCTTGTCCTCCCACATGCTTCCCTTTTCATTTTCGGTTTTGTATACAGCTGGCATTCCTCGAGAGCTGGTCTGTCCAGACAGCATTAAGGGTCCCTGTTGTGCCCTAAATAAACTTACACAAACAAGACAAGTTTGAATTACATGATTCAAAATTAACCCTGTGGCTTACCACAGGTTGGTCAGTGCTCTAGTAGGCATGGGCTGGCACTAACATTTGCTGCAGTGCTCTCGCCTCCGCGTCTTGCTCCTTCTCTCTCGCAACAGGTGTCTAATTAGAGAAGACCAGGGTGGGGCACACACAAGCTAAGGGCTATCAAATAAAAAGCCACCAACCTCTGAACAGCAATACAGGGCGTTGCTGTGGTTCCTGCGGTAATAGTACTGCTAGCTCTGTGTAATTTATTCCAGTTCTTTGGAGACAAAATGGTGAAAATCTAAACAAATGGTAGCTTCTAATGTTTCATCATATGCCACCATATTGTATATAAATACCTATGCTTAAATATACCAAAATGCCCAACAACATATGTGCAACTTGAAGCAAACACATGCACCATACGCACTTAAAATTGGATACGTGACATCACTGCCAAAGTCACGTTCACACGCAGAATATTTTAGATGAGGCCTTTTGATGGGCTGTGCTGTAAACATACTCTGACTTTCAACACTAGCTCGTAAAAGAGACTTTAAATGTATGTACAGCCACCATATTAAAGATAAAAGAGATTCTGTATGATGCCGTGCCAAATGAGAGCAGACGGGGCAGTGTCTGATTAACTAACATTAGATCAAGAGAGCATGTGAAACTGCTGGATGTCCTCATAATTAAAGATTCCACCAAGCATTCACAGACACTCGAACCTTTGCCCCTAAAGATATTTCACTGTTTGTTAAAAGTCTGAAAACAGACCTCGCCACTGCTGGATAAAAAGAGTGGAATTTGCAGCTTAATGCCACATGAATTACACTCAAATGCTATAATAACAGAAGCAGATGGGGATGAATGAACTGCTTCTGTGCCAACATTTTTAGCATATGAAAAAGGAAATAACGAGTAAAAGTCTAAAGTATTATTTAGGTATTTAAAACAATAATAGTAATAATTAATAATGTGAATGACGAGTTTGGAAATTAAGATGGAAACCTAGATGTGGTTTTTATGCCAAAACAAAGTGCCCAAAAGGGGATTGGTCTGTGATTTTTATAGTCCCGGAGGTCATTACAAAGTTGTTCCAGAGGAAAGACCCGTTCACACAGTTTACTCTAGGGATTATAAAGACCCTTGAAAAGCTGATCTGTTGCGTGGTGTTACCGAAAGAGCCCAACAGAGGAGCACATGTTTTCATTTGAAAGTTCTTTAAAGTTTTCCAGGTTCCTATTCCGTATGCCGATCTGGGATCTGAATGCATACAGGTGAAGCAGGGTAGGGGAAATTTGGTTAGCGACAGAGGAGTGGTTTGGAGGGAATGCAGGAGGAAAGATGGGTGACAGAGATATTTTCACCCACACAAAGACCCTTTTGACCCAGCAGTTTCCAGATGAACACACAAACACACACGCACACACACACAGGCTTCAGATAGATATAGGCCTGTGCGCTGACGATGCATCCACATTTCCACTCACACCCTCCTACCATCGTCGTCATTATATACCCTCAAATACACTCGAAAAAGTTCGGCCCGACTATTCATGGGTACTGAGCAACGATCTCTGTACTCACATCTGTTGCCATAGAGATGGCATCTCGCACTCTCATGTGTGGGATGAGAGGTCAAGGTTCATGGTTGGTTCTTCTTGTGCTCAATGGTGCTCTGTGTGTCATCATGCAGACTTCCAGTAATCCCAGGCTACAGAAGGTCAAACCTGGTAGAGCTCTTTTATCAGAAACTAGTCTTTCAAACAAAAGAACCTACCTGTGACCCTGCAGACTAAGCAATCTGCACCATATATTCAAATTTTTAAGTGACCAACAAGTAAATTTCCCTTCCTAAATTGAAACCACACATACATCTGGCTAAGAGGGGAGAGTTTGCATAGCATGTCTTTGCGCGGAGTGCATGTTAGCATGTGTGTGTGTGGCTTTCTATGTTTGCACACACACATGGCAGCAGCAGTTAAATTTGATAAATGCTTTTGTTTACAGGAAAGCGCCATAATCTGTCTCACTCTTTATATAGGCAGTTTGTAAACTCACCCACATACGGTATGTCTGTGCTGCACGGAGGGATTAGTGTTGTAGCACGCATACAATCCCATGTGAGCGCTTATGGGCCCAAGTGTGTGGGTTAAACTAAATCACACTGGCAGCGAGTTTGCAACTGACCCCTGGATTTATAAATACATCCTTACTGAAAATGACTTCTTTTCATTGCTTGCCCTTTGCAAACCAACCACTTCCACTGAGAATGCCACCAGCAGTTCAACATCTCTCTTGACGTAAGCGAGATGCTGTTGCTGAGATAGTTTATTGAGCTTGACAAAAGCCACTTCTAAGCTATGATGATGGTAAGGGGTCACTGCCATATGCTAAAGCTTTATCAAGGGCAAGTTAGAGTTGAGAAGTCCAGCCCAGCCTGGGATCCAACCAGTGATTAAGGATTATGCTGCAGCACATTTTTCCTGCTTGAACTACTGCAGTTATCAAAGTTATCCTTCTGTTTATCTTCCATTTATCTTACGCATTCATTGCTTACGAGTCCAAAATAGAGAAAGTGTTCCTTAGGAAAAGCTTTAACAGCTCTCCTTGTAAATTTCCAAAATACATTTGGAGGAAAGTTTCAGCTTTCTTGCGCAAAACATATTTCCACTCAGACTCATGCTTGGCTTGACTGGCTTCACGCAGCTCTCTGCTTAGATTTTTAAACCCTATTTAGGATTCATTCCAGGTAAGTTTGATTTGGATCATAAGAAATCCCACAAGAGGGACCAATGTGGTGAAACTGGTACTACAGACAGAACGGGAGGTGCTGATTGGGCTTAAATAGCTTTAATTAGAGCCAGACAAAGAGCTTTTCATACATATGTAGTGGCGCTGGGGATCGCAGAGACTTTAGCTTAACGGTCTTGCAGACATGGAGGAATAAGCACGTAGTACATATTATACTTAAACAACAACAAATAAAAATATAAAGGATATCTGAAATCACTGTGTAGTGCATAAAATGTCAGACTTTTTTTTTTTAATGCAGGTTTGCAGTACCTTCCTTGTAATTAACAGTTTAACACCAAGAACATAAGGGATACCACAGGCACAGCTGTGCTAAGCGCTAATATCAATGAGGTAATTGACATTAGGGGATAATGCAATGTGCTGATAGGATACAACAAGTTGTTGATTGGTGGGGGTGATGTAATTTTTCAGACAAAAACAAAAGGAGAAAAAAATTGACACCAAAATTGTCAGAATTCCTCTGAATTCTGATTTTTTTGTAGTACATTTTATGTAAATCAACACAGTATGTGTTAAAACTGCTACTGTTGTTTCCCTCTATGGGTACTGCTGGATAAGAGGAACACATTTTATTACAATCCGTTAAAGGGTTATGATATTTCAGTTTGGGCAATGCAAACGTGCTGCCGTCGTGGTTACAAACAAATGTCAGGCTGAATCCTTACATTTTATGGGACAGTAAGTGAGAAACAGAGGAAGAGAGCTCCTGTAAGAAGACTAGATTTATTTAACTTCCTTGGAAAAAAGAAGTCTTTCATTAGCCCAGAATGGGATTCCTATGGAGTGTTGGTGCAGTCTGCTGCAACAGTTCAGTCGGAAGTAAAAAGTCCAGTGAAGCCATGTGTTCTTTGTCTGTTTACAGTGCTTTTATTAGGCATCCTGTGGCACAGGCAGCCTTTTCAAAGACCGTCTTTATAGAAGCTTTCCTGTTTATGCTCAGGGGTGGGAGGTCAGCACTCGCATCCCCATGCTGAATATGGTCAATCTGTCTGCATAGGAAGACTTTGTGTGTGAGTATATGTGTGAGCGCTGGGTTGATAGGAGGGACTTGGAAGGCTTTTATTTTCATGACTGCGTCTTGTTTGGTTATTGTGGCTTTTTTGCCTTTGAGGTTTAGCTCAACAGGTAGGATAAAACACACACTTATTTACATTTATTTTAAAAAAAAAACCAATAAACAAAAAACCCTCAACAACAGACAGAATCGTTTTTTATGAAAATGTGTTCGATCTGGTTGGAGGTGTCAGGGGGTGGTCAAAGACACTTACCCGAGGACCCCTCTTGCCTAGCACGCCTGGCTTCCCTGGAGGTCCAGGCAGCCCCTACAGAAAGATTATTTGGTTAGTGTTGCAGTCTGATACACCATTTATACAGCACAATGACTAAGTATATTCATTTAGCATACACTGACAGAACCAGACTCTCATCCAATGCATTTTCTCGGTGGATTCATCTACATCACAGAGGCTGCCATTCATCCACAGGGTGAAAAAAACTGCACACAAAGCGACACCTTTTCCCTCTGAAGTAATTCCATCGCAAGGTGTTGAGAGTTCACCCTTAGCCATCGAGAGGATTTGAGCCCTTGCGGCAGGAAATCGTAGAAACACTAGAAATAACAGGTCATTTCCTGCACCGCTCAATGCCCCTGTGTGTCTATATCAGGCCCGGGCTCATTTGTTTTCTTTTAATTGAAAAAGAGGGAGAAAACGCAGAAATGAGGGAAAACAGTATTTTTGGTCATTTTGGCAAAAAAGGCAACAATGTGGGCTCCTGGTTGTTAAAGCATCTTGTAGTAAAGTGTTTATATAACACGTTTTACATATTTTGTCCTCAAAAAAATCGATAAATAGTCGAGTAGTAAAAAAGAAGCAGCATGTCGCTTTTTGATATTGACTCATTTTAGCTCTCAAAAAGAATTTAAGAAAGAAGAGACTAATTCAACAACAATTTAAATAAAGAAAACCACAACTCATTCTTTACACACACAGACATCATGTCTGATCCTCAGGGTTATTCTAATAATAGTCACTACCTGCATAAAGTGTGTCTGTCTATTCTCTGATTTATTTATTTATTTATTTATAACTGTGCTGGAACCATCTCCTCCTCCGCAATGACCTCCTAAGTAGAGACCACCCTTACTGTTGCAGGTGGTGTGCCCTATGGTGGCCTGAAGACCTGTCAACGTCAACATACACCAGTGTCCGTCTTCACACTTACACCCCCTGCCTCGGCCTTCCTTTCTTAGCCTGGTTTGTTTATTTACTTCACTGTCTTTTCCTTTTTGCACCTGTCAATCTTACCTCATTTCTTTTCTCTAAGACAATTTGTTCAGGCTTCTGGAAAGGATGCTTTCAGTTATACTGGCTGTGCACGTCTGCATAGATGAATTGTGCATTGCTGTGCACAGAGTTGTCCTTTGATACACGAAAAACTCTGTTTCTACGTTTACAGCGATGAAAATCGTGCTTGGCGAGTTTGAAAAACGCGTTTTTAAGGTTTCCTTTCTAAAAGCTTATATATAAAGTGCACTTTAACTGAGCACAGAAGTATGTTTCCATACAGTCAATTCAGATTCAAATTCAATCTCAAAAAAATGCAGTGGAGCAGATGTCAAAGGAAACCATTTTTCATGGTAGGAGTGAGGCGCCAAAGGTGCTTCAGAAGAGCGACTGCAGCATGTATATGTGCCTGAGCTGGATGTTTCTTCTGGCAGCTGGAGCTCTGTTTCTGTGCAACAGGAAGTCCAAAGCACACTTCTGCTGTAACTGTTAAAGGCTCTTAAGGTGTGCAAGAAAAGCGTGCACATAAAATGTTGTGCTCTTGGGAAAAGAGTTGGCACAGTACACTAATGGCATGCGTAAAAAAAAAAAAAAAAAAATCAAGATCCATACTGAGAGGAAACCATAACTGGGTTCACTCGGGATCTCTGATGGTACTACACAGTTACACAGAGACAGAGCAGGAGGCACGTGTATGTGCAGGCATCCACATTTAAAATAAATAGGTCTTCCAGTCTCATAATATCTTACCCAGTCATTGAAGTCAGGCAAAATGCACATTTTCATGCACTTTTAAGATAAAGCCCAGAGCATTTCTATGGCTTTATTGTACTTCAGGGCCAGAACTCCACCACAACCTACCCTACATTTAGTGCAACTTAACCTACATTTAGCATAAGCCTCAGCACAGTATCAGCACTTGTGGATATGCCAGACAGTCCTTTGGTAAATAATCTTCAAACTTCCCTTACTGATCCTTCTACAATTTATTTTCTTCGGTAAATGACTGCACTTCATATCAAGATTACAGGTCCTGGTTTCTAAATGCCAGCAACTTGGCTCACCTTAATGACAGTAAAGCATCTACTGGACATCACTACAGAGGTAAATTAGCGAGCCCTAGACACACTGTATTCTGCAGTCTACAGCACCAAATGACAGGCTGCTGCAAAGAATAAGCAAGGCACACGTATCAAACGAACAGGCCCTGCTTGCACTTTACACTAAGATGACTTAATCACAGGTACAAGTATGAACACACCCAAGAGACACTGACAGAGACATTGTGGTCTGATCATTCTGACCACATTTTGAGTTGGGAAACTGTGTAGACAGTTGTGTACACAAAGGTATTCTCTGCTTCGTGGAGACAAGCACATTTTCTGAGACTTGTTCTGATGCTGAAGGAGGGCCTCGCCTAACTTAACGCCTGTATTGGGAAGCTGAATGTTTGCTGACTGCTTTAACCTTTGACCTGGACCTGGCTTTGAAACGAGACCATGCAACCTCCACCAGAACTCTCTGAAAGAGGAATCTGGTGCTGAGACGGCAAGGCGTCAGACCTGACATGTCACAGCCAGACTGGAAGGCTCTGTGCATGGAGTAAGGTGAAAAGAATTAGAGAAATATAGCAGGGCTTCAAACCTCTGTGGCAAAGGAGACTGTTCCATATTAACCTAAATATCTGTGTGGTCTTTTTCTAACCCAAAAACACCTAAATCAAAACTGCACTGGTCTTTGTTACAAGTGACAAAGACCAAGGTAGACTGGGATGAGCTAAAAGAAAAGCTCCATTCACTTTTATTGCTTTACTAATGTAAACTTGCCACACACAGCTGCAGGCACAGAGATGAGACATAGTCTGTGCACTGCTTGCTCACCTTGATTTTGCAAAACACCAGTGCTGATATAGATTTTTTTTCTTGTAGCATTTACACACAACCAGTCTCACTAAACAGCTCAGGTTGACCAAAAGTTCTTACCTGCGGTCCTACATTTCCTTTCTCTCCCTTAGCTTCTACCAGCATGGAGAATTGCGTAGGTGGCACCTCCCAGCTCTGGAAGCCATCAGTAGCAGGTGGTGTAACTGGGTTGTATGAAGGTTTAGTAGGTCTTGGGGTGACTGGAGCCTTGGTGGTCATTGGTTGCTTTGTTGGCTTAGGGGTTTTAGCAGCTGTAGGTTTGGGGGTGGCTGATTTTGAGCGGTTGACCTTTGATGTTGTTGGTTTAAAAGGAGCATCTTTTAGAGAATCTGGTTTGGGTTTGGACGGAGTGGCTTTCGATGATGTAACTTTAGACTTGGAAGGAGTTTTACTGGCTCTGGTGGGTTGGGGTTTCTTTGGGACTGCACCTTGGTCTAATAATGCAGGTTTAGGCTTTGTCTTGGAGGGTTTGGTGCTGGTACTGACTGGTATCGTAGGTTTCTTTGAATTGCTTGTTCCCACACTTGCATTTTTTGGGTTGTTTTGAGGGGTGGGTTTTGACAGAGTGGGTTTAGAGAGTGTGGGTTTTGAGGGACTGGGTTTTATCGGACTGGGTTTTGATGGAGTGGGATAAGAGAGACTGGGTTTTGGTGGAGTGTGTTTTGATGGAGTGGGTTTTGGTGGACTGTGTTTTGATGAAGTGGGTTTTGGTGGACTGTGTTTTGGGGGAGTGGGTTTTGGTGGACTGTGTTTTGATGGAGTGGGTTTTGGGGGAGTGGGTTTTGATGAAGTGGATTTTGATGGAGTAGGTTTAGAGGATTTCTGATTAAAAGCTTTAGGACTGGAGGGTCTTGCCGTTGATGGTTTCGTGGGTGGTGCTCCTGTCCTGAGTGGTGTTGTGACAGTGCTGGTTCTGGTCTTGAGAGGTGGTGAAGCCAAACCAACTTGGTCTGTAACTGGTATCACAGTTCCCAACAGGGTCTTTGGGATGATGGTCCCTTGGTTCGGTTTTATCGTTTGGGTGGGGGCCACATATCTGACAGCTGAGGCTGCAGCAGCAGCGCTCCTGGCGAGGCTGAACCCTGTGGTTTTCCTGGCGGTTACTGGGCTTCCACGTTTAGGGGTAGCAGCAGTAGCTGTGATGTTTCTTTCTCTCGGTACAATAGGCAGCAAAGGAGAAAGGTTAGGCCTGTACGTGTCAGCTTCCCTGCACTGTTTCTTAATGTACCTGCAATAGTTGTGAGCTGCCTGTGCAGAAGGGACCAGATCAAACTGGCAAATGGCTCCTTCAAAGTGTGCTGAAGTTTGCTGCTGGCTTGTCCTCCCCAGCAGCAGCGAGCCATGGAGCTCTGGAGCCAGCCCCTTTTCACTGTCCCACCCAAAGTCTGCATGAACACTCTGCCCTCCGCAGGAGGCATATAGAGTCACTCTCTGTCCATTAATTCCCAGACCCAGCTGGTGCCACTTGCCATCGTGGGGCTCATAGGGCAGTGCCACAGAGGTATTTGGTCCCGTGTGTAGGACCAGGTTTCCCGGTACAAGCTGTAGACCAAGAAGCAGCTTCTTGTGGTCTGAGAGCAGGGTGAAAAGGAAAGCGCTGTTGATACGGTGAGAGCGTACACTCAGGACCAGCGTGAGGTTAGGCCAGATGGCCGGAGGAAAGATTGATCGCAATGGAGCCTCAATATGCGCCCGCTGGTTGAGGATGATCCCCGATCTGAACGGAATGACTCCTGCCGGCAGAATGCGTGATGTCCTCTCTCCCTTAAGCCCCAACTTTTGGAGAATGTCCACATCTGTAGAGGAAGAAAAGGGCTGTGTTAGATAAGCAGTGTTTACAACATGCTTGTTTGTGATGTTTATGGTTATTATTATCTCATATTTTTGGTACCTGGTAATCATCAGGAACAAGATAAAATAAACAACATAGGCAACTTTAGAAATATAAATCAAACATCACGCAAGCACTACAAGAGAACACACTGAGATCTGGACTAGTTTTAAACTTTTACTGTAATTTGTGCCCAAACTGTAACATGTTTTAAATGGTTGTGGAAAAATAATTTAAATCTCAATGAGACAATTTGAGTTCTTGCATAAGAATTTGGTGCAAAACATTTCACTTTTTCAAAGTTTTGTTTTAACTAAAGACTCCTATGCTACGAGAGGCTTGCATCATGTCCATATTGCAGCAGTTCACAAAATACTGTAGCTTAAACACTGAAGGGTGAAGAGACAGGCAAAAAGAAAGAAAGATTCAAAACAATAATGAACTCAGCAGACTTTGAGCACATCTAAGTGCTTCTGTAGATGGTTTATAGCAACTTTAGGCCAAAATAAATTTATGTCCAGACAGGCAGGAGTACGTAGCAATCTTGTTTCTTATGTTGCTGAACAGCACAGAGGTCTACTTCAAATGTCAGTGGCTTTGCTAATTCACATTGCTCCAATATGTCTGGCTTTTGTGATGCCTTGAACAGCTTAAAGTGTCGCACAAGGGCAGCGTGTGTACACCACATTCTGTACTGCACTCACAGTGAAATATAATGTTGATCTTTGCCAGTAATCTAAAACCTTACTGAACCCTATAACACTAAAACTCATAGAGATTCATCTCAGCTTACTGTGATTCGAGTTTAAAAGGTCAAACGTTCAACAGGAATTATTAGAAATCCTTTGATAAGACAATCCAAATGTGTTGCAGTTAAACCTAAACACCTCTCCCAGTGTATGCCTATTATCCTAATTTTGTCTGTCCTCTGGACCCCATAAACCTCAAATGAAATTTTGGTTATATAGAGCAGAAAAGAATGGATATATGGTCATAAAAAAATAGAATGCTAAACCAATTAAGCATTGCACTCACTGCAGGTGAGTCAAGGCTAAAGCATCCAGCCAGTACCAGGAACGTACAAGCAGACTAGAGGACCTAATCCTTTCTTAGTAGCCACCTGGCCAACGCACTTGAAAAGCAAAAGCGAGGTCACTGCATGCTTTGTAATGCTGACAAATATGTGTTTGTTGCAAATGTGTGTTTGAGGCACACATTTTATTCATCTCTGTTCATATTAATGCATGCATGCTGTACTGTAAGCTAATGTTCAAGTGCTGACAATGTTAGCTATACTGATAGACACGTTTCTTTGTGTCTCTTTGTTTTTAAGCCTTTAATTTGCGAGGGAATGAACTAAATGACATCAGCGTCATCATGTAACCTCTTTCCCATCTCGTCTCTGTCCTTCTCATCAGTATGTAGTCAGCGTGGACATTCAGAACATGGCCACAGAAACCACAAGTGAGTACAACATCTCTCAACTCGAGAGTTCGGAGCACAGTTTCCAACCTTTCAGCCAACTTTGACTCTCTGTTCAGAGTTTCAGTCTCAGTAGTCCCACAGCCCTCATTCTCTCCATGACCTGTGATCTCAGACCTAGGCCCCTCACCATTTTTATTGTCTGCGGGCTCACTCTGACCTGTGGTCACTGGGGCCTGTCTAATGGGGACATGTGTATAGAATCCATGGAAAAGCAGTGTTGATGAGATACCAGAAAAAGTGGGAAAGACAGCTGGGATGTACTGCACTGGTAAACTATAGAGAGTGAGGACTTGAATGACATGCTTGTCTTTCTATAATACAAGGCTTGCTTTATTAAACTGCTGGGCCCCAGACTTTGAAAATACATATAATTGCAGGGAAAGTTTGAAGGAATATTTGAGCTGAGAGAAAAAGAGGTTTAGAAAACTTTGACATTAAACATATGCAAACTCAAAACAGAACCTTGAGTGAAACGACTCTTTCTCCGCTGATTGCTCTAAGTTCTTTATGGTCCTTACGTGCTATGTATAAGGCTGTAAGACTTCCCTTTAGTTCAAACCATTAGAGCTTTATAAAACAGGAATAATATTCACACTGTGCATGGTGTATATTGCTCTCTGTGTGGTCTCTGATGCATTAAAGGACAACAGGAACTTGGCAATGAGGCAGGCAGGTACATTACCTCTATCTGTTCTGTACATTGTCTCCAATTCTTCTATTCTACTGTTACAGAGGCATAAATTAACAGCACAGTCTCAGATATAAAGCATACTGTAAGTGTCTGAGCAGATGCATGTTTAACACATGGCCAGAGTTTATAGTCTCGCAATGTGCCAATTCACTCAAACAGGATAGAGTGAAAGTCCAAGGCTCTTTTCTCTGATCGTATCCCTTGTAGAGGATGAAGTCACTGATTTATACTGAAATAATCCCTTTCGGGCCGATCTGTGCTAGTTTACAATAGTTTATGATATTTCCTCATCATCCCCAATCACCAACACAGCAATATATTGCCTAAATTCCCTGAATATCATATTTGGAATCATCACTTATTAGACTACTGAATATGTTTAAAACGTGAAACTAAGTCTTCGTCTTATGATCAATGCTTAGATAAGGGACAGAACATGGTAAAACATGGTCTATCTGGAATTTTCCTGTTTTTCCTCAACCTTCTGGCAATTTATTTATTTAAATGTTTCAGGAGACACACAGACAAGGATGGAGAGCTGAATGGGGAGTCATATGATTTGGAAACTCAAGAATGAAAGTGAGGGATGACGTGCAAATGCAGATGTTGTTCACCATAATCATTACCTGGCTGTTCCCCTTTTACATTTTAAAATTTGTTCCACTGCAGAAAAAAAATGCTAAATTTTTTTCCTAATAAAATCATGTCAGTGTTCAATATACAACTTAATCCTTGACTCTGGCCTCCAAAAGAAGTCTTAGGCTGCACTGAGGTATCCGTGTGCCAGGGGACAGTGAGTTGCTCACAGGCTGATCAGCAAGAACGTATTGCTGAACATTCCTCCTCTTATTGTTCATCCTTTCACAGTTCATTGCATTTCACAGTTCAAAACAGAGACTCTTTACTGAATAAAAAGGCTAATTAGAGGATGAAACGGAGCCTAAAAACTAAACTCAGCTTTCAAAAAGGAGCCAAACATGTCCAACTAACTTTATTAGGTCTGACTACTAAATTTTACACCTCTGGTGAATTATCGCCACCAAGACTTGTTATGTTACATTAATTGTTAACACCAGACACTTTAAAGAAGTGTCAGCTTTTCAAAGGCTTATTTGCAGAACTGTGACTGTGGAAGAGCCTTGATGTAATGAACTGAAATGACATTTGGTTTTGTCGACCATCAGTTTTCAGTCACTGCTTTGTCGGGCCTACTGAAGTCTGTGTGCTGTCAGCCTCAATCATAATGACTAGAGCAGGGGGGCAGTTCACTGGACTGTATCAATAACTCTTCATCAGAGGAAACTTCCAAATGGTACCAAGAGGAGATCAAACAGAAACACACTCAACGTTTTCAATTAAATCTGCAATAACTGATTTTTAAGGCTACTTGGATGCAAGATTGTGAATGTAACACTGACTTAAGATCTCGGTTAAAGGCAAGCCTGTTAGCAATCAGCTGAAAATGTTTTAACATCCTGCATTTATGGAGAAACATTACTGGATAATGACTCCGCTCGCCTAATCAAAGTCCTTATGCAGTCTTTTTGACCAATACCAGTGGCTTAGATAGCTGCAAAATGCTTGACTATATATTGACCAGCAAGCCTGTAACTGTTCAGTCTCCTGTTTGCTGCAGAGAAGGATGTCTACGGTAGATGAAACGTGCCTGCAAAAGAGCTGAGCACAATAATAAGGCGCATCTCGCTAAATGCTTTGTAAACAGGTGCTATATGAATAAAGTATGAATAAAACTGAATTAACTTAACTGTATAAAATGTTCTGCAAAGTGGAGGCAAGCTCCTGATTTAGGCATCTCTGAATTCTAGTACACGTTTCACATCGTCAAACTTTTCCCTTTTGCCCTTGTGAAGAATATTAGCCTTTACAAATGCTTTGCTAAGTGGGGTCTTCAGCAGTGCAGCTGTCCAGACAAAATTTTGACTTTAACCTCTGACTGACATGAGATTTTACATTTTTTTTTAGATTAATGGTCAACATTGGATCATTGAATGGTTGAGCTGATCACTCCCTAGATCCTTGGACTTAGCTTACTCAACACCTGTTGTTATGGCAACGGCTGGCCCAATTCTCTTAGCAAAGTGTTTATGTGCTTGGGCCTTGACCAAAAAGGCAAAGAATAACTGCAAAACCTCACCAGGGTTCCTTACAGTCTTACAGAGTTGGGATTTTTTTCAGCACAAACAAAAGAGGTCAGAAAGTGCAGTACGTGGAGGTGAGTATGGAAAGCTTACCTTCAGAGGGTACTTGTGTAAGTCCCAGGTAACAAGTACAATATAAAATGGTACAGAGCAATAGGGCTCTCCTGGAAGAAGAGAAGAGAAGGATGTCAGAGAGAGGCAACAATCACGTGGTATTGGACAGACTATTTAACTCTTTTTCTCATAGTTATTCCTCACTAACTGTATCCATACTATGATCAATCAATCAAATGTGATTGCTGGCTAAGGCAGAGATGTTGATCATATTGGCACCATGAATTGAGTCATAAATAAAGCCAGAAACTTCTTTTTTTTTTTACCATTAACATTAAAGATATAATTCTCTCCCCATTCATTTAGATAGAGCCTTGGCCTCATTAACCCCAAATAACTACTTAGAGGTGTTGCCAAGGTAACTGCAGAGCCTCATAGTGCTTCTAGAGGTAGTCCGGTCCTACGTTTAGGTCCCTGATGGACAAACAGTCTAACAAGTCACAACATGAGAATGCAAAAGTCTTTGTTCCAGCATATAATAAATCCACAAATCTCAATTTACAGATACATTGGACACTTGTCTCAACCCTGACAAAAAAGTAGTATTAATGAATGTAATTATTTGCGTTTAACCATAGGAGGCATGCCTTAACATATTGTTCAACTGTGACACAACTGTTTACAGTAGGAGGGCACAAGCAGGAGTCTGCTAAAGCACTTAGATCTCAGCGAGCCTCTATCTCTCTGAAACACAAGAACACACACACATTGTGGTTTTGGAGACAAAAATACTGTAGTAGACTCCCAAAACCAACCAAATGTGCATGCATGTGCGCTCGTACATACACACATGTGCAGAAAAAACAAAAACAAAATGTCTCTCAGCACCCTCACCGCATCCAGGTGTGCAGCATAACTTAAAGAAACTGACTGGCAAGTGGACTGAGATCCCAGTAGGGGTCCGAGATCTGGTGACAGGCTGGGGGAACCACTGTTTACCACTGGAGGTCATCCAGGCACACATGGTCACACACAGACACACACACTGGAGGAGGAAATGTGTATAACAGCTGTTGCTGGTGGGCCACAGTAGGCAAACAGGGCTCCAAATACATAAATGTGGGAAAGACGGTGACTGTTGCATAAGCTGAGCGATTTGCATTATCCCAGACAAGGACGTGTGTCTGCCTCTCTTCAGAAACAATTCTACAGCTTCAACATTAACCAGTGTGTGTGTGTGTGTGTGTGTGTGTATCTGAATGCACGTGTGCAACAGTGTGCTCACATCCATGTTTGTGGTGTCTGTGTCTCCAACCCTTCCATCCTCTAGTTGCTAATAAAGCGTCATCACACTCATCCACACACACAGCTGGCTGTGGTTACTCGGGATGTGTTTGTGTTTGTGTGTCACTGTGTGTGTATGTGTGTGGACTTGTGTGACTCAGTGTCTTATCAGCGGAGGGAGAGATCCGCTTTCTGAAAATGAGTCATGAATGATGAGGTTTTTACTGCAGCCCCGACAACTTTTATTCTACTCCTCGGGCTGTTTACATCTGTGGAAACTGGACCGGGTTTCCTAGGAAACAGCACCATTTTCTTTGGCTTTTCACATTAAAAGTTCTCAGTAGCTTGTTTAGATTTTCATTAGGAGAGGGGGCTTTTGAAATGCATCTGACAGGTCAGGATTTTCTCCTGTGTGGAGCATTTGAAGGTGGCTGTGCTGAAGGGGGATTTGTATGCAGTGGATATTTAAATCAAATAAACTGACATCTGTACGCTGACCCTGTGTGGTGTGGTTTTCATACTGCAACAGCGAGCTATGACATGACTCCCTGAGGGGATTCTTCCCTAAGCTGAGTGGACAAAATACAGACTGGATGAGCAATCCCTCCTCCTAAGTCATCCACTGCATTAGGCAGCCTAACACACATACTGTGCGTTAGGCTGCCTAATGATACACTGAAGTCCCAGCACAGAATGGGGGAAAAATTGCCATGCACTGCTGATAACATATTTATCTCCAGATTAAGAAGTGATTAGCCCACAAATCTGCCATTTTAAGAAAAAATAATGGTAAGAGATCAACAACCAATTTAACAGAGTGATAAACTGTTGGAAGGAGTGAGACAGTGAGTGAATAGAAACTGTTGCAATCTTTGTACAATTCCCTAAGTGGCAAAAATGTATTCCTCATTATAAAATCAGCATCAGTAATCTGCAAACTTAATAGTAAATATCCTCTCTTCTACGATATGTTCTGCTAATATTTCCACTGTGTTCTTAGACACCCCCCCCCCTCCACCCCCAACAACCATGACAAACCATTCCCCCAGAAACATATACGCAGAAGCACCAACCTCTCTGCAGTTATAGAGGGAAAAGAGAAAAAGAGAAACACAGAAAGGCCAGTGTAGTTTCCATTTCTATTTACAATTTTGGCCTTTTTATTGATTCTCTTGAAGGATTTCCCAAAGGTGATCCTCCCCCCTGACCACAAACTCACATTCACACACAGTGGAAAATTCCTGTGGATGAGCTGACACTAACAAGGGCTGATGAGGAGGAGGAGGGTTTAAGAGTGTCAATCCACTTTTCTCCCTGCAGTCAGCTAATGGCTCACTTCAGACAGTTTTTCAAATAATCCACACCTTGTTCTACAGAGTACTCAAGCTCTGAGCTGGATTTTGGAAAGGACTGCAGTTAATCAATCCTTTGGTCAATGACTCATCAATTAATCAATTTAAAACTTCATCTTTTCAGTTTGATTTCAAGGATAAAAAAATCATGCATTGCTGAGGATTGATTGCGTGTGAAAAGTAAAGAGCGGGACACGAAGGGAGACACCAAGTGGACACACAGAGAATGAAACTCTCTGCACACATCGCAGACAGACAGACAGACAGACAGACAGACTCGACTTCATCACAGTCCATAATAATGCAGTCGTAGCGCCGTGGAGTCGTGACTAACACAGTGAGGAGGCAAAGCTTTTGAAAGCCGTGTTTCTTTACGCGCGACAGGTAGGTGTGATAAACCGACACAACCTGCGCCAATTTGTTTTAATGAAAAACGAGCAGACGATGGGTCAACTGTCCGGACTTTCCTACTCCCTAAATGACTGTACGGCTGCTATCTCGCCAGCAATCTGTCAAATAAACCAGCTGTTCAGTACTCAATGAGGTTAGAATCGCGCCTGCGTGCACAACTGAATGCAAAAAAGAAATGGATCAATGGATGACATCTAAGCTCAGCAACATTAGGCTGCAGCATGAACTTCACCAAAAAGTCAACAGTGTAGTACAGACGGCTTTGCGCTGCTCCCATGTGTACTTACTGTCTGTGGAGACCTATGCTGTAAACACGTCCATAAAACATCTGAAATTTATATCACATTCTAGTAAAGCTCATATCGGTTGCAGATGTTTGATTAAATACTTTAAGGCTGTCGCAGAAACGTATGCGTTCGTTTAGGCTTGTTTGTTTGGGGAAAACGTTTTTAACCATTAAAAAAGTATCCCTTTATTTAGCCTTCGTAAAAGTGCCATGTGGGGAACGCGTAAACGGAAAAACATGAAAAGCATGCGTAATAATCTACCAAACAGCTTAGTGGATGCTGATGGACCGCTCATGAAAGTTTATGGGTAAGAATGATTCCCTAATTTGCTTGCTTTGTCAGATGAGTCACTTTAGTGAACACTTCCAGTAATGTCAACGAACTGCGTGCGGATATTAAACACGACCTACGCAAACTGCGTCCGAATGAACCGGCTTTTTCACGTAAGAACCGATAAAGGGGAGGTAAAAATATCTGCACGAATGGAGTTGTTTGGTATTCCATGCAAATAACAAATTACACCCATGGTCCAAACAGACCCCATTCAGAGACTCAGCATTCCCCATGTGGACATAATTTCTTCACTGTGAGCTGGATAACAGCCAGCCGGCACATCATCAGATACGCACATGGAGGCATCCAGGTCTTTAAACTGTTTTTCGGTACACATCATGTTTTGAATATTCCCGTTCACATAACATAAAAAAGTCGTTAAAAATAAAATAAAACAGTGATAACAAATGTCACTTACTTTGTGTCTAGATGAGAGGTTCTGCAATCTCTCCTTCGGGTGCCTAAATTCATTTGTATTCATTTGTCCTGGCAGTCAAAAACCTGATCCTTTAATCACAGTGTGACTCCTTTGCAAGGGGGGCAAAAAAAGACACCGGTCGCCGCTTTACGCATTTGACAAGCTTGAGGTGAAGTTCCAGAGGAAAAAACTCATGTTAATTTGCCTGTCAAGTCCAGTATAAATTCCTCCTGACAGGCTGCTTTGACAGAGAGTTTTCCTGTGCGGTTGTCTGTCGATATTCCCTTGTGTTTCATTCATTTATGCCGATCCAGTTTGGAGGGACGCGCGGCCAGAGAGAGAGAGGGAGAGCGAAAGCTGGGTTCTTTTGAAAGGGGGTTACGGAGTCAGGAGCGTTGGACTCATCCCTTTCCTTTTTAAATAAGCTTTCTGTGGGTAAAGCGATGGCAAATGCACCGCACGGCCAGGTGTCAAGTTACAAGCCCAGCGGTTGCATCGAGCAACTACACGCCTTCTCAGGGGGTGGCCACAAGGATCTTACCCCAAATCCAAAGCACTGGCTAACCATATGAATGAAGCACGGTGACACGATGGGAAGGACTTCACTAGAAAGTGCCAGAAATGAGCGCCTACAGCTACAGCTTAAATATAATAATAATAATAATAATAATAATAATAATAATAATAATAATAATAATTATTATTATTATTATTATTTTATTAATTTATCTATCACACGTACATGCTAACCCTCCCGATTTTTCCGGGAGAATCCCGAATTTCAGTGCCCCTCCCGAAAATCTCCCGGAGCCACCATTCTCCCGACATCAAAATTGGAAAACCATATCCCAGATTGGCCCAGCCAATTCCAGTTTCCAACAATGGCTACTGAAGCTACTTAGTTTTAATATCACTCTTATTACTCTTTCTGGGTCGCAAAATAAACTTTTAACATATTTTCAGGCGAGAATGTAGCTGTGTAAACTTCAAATATCTGCAGCAAACTCCCGGCACATCGTTTTCAAACCCCCGCGGTCTTTTGCTATTCAGGTTAAACATGATATAAACGTCACTTAAATAACTTAAACATGTTATTGTTTGGCCTTTTTCGGTGTTTTATTTGTTCCTGAGTAAATAGTTAAAGTTATTAGATTAGACTAGATTAAATAAAACTTTATTAATCCCTCGGGAGGGTTCCTCTGGGGTTTTCACACAGCTGAATAAAACTGATTAAACAGAAGTGTGAGATGGTCGAAAAATTTACGCCATATTTTAGATAGAAAGGAGCAGACGGCAGAGCTTCACTCCACCGAGAGAGCTCATGACGTAATCCTGACCGTTCAATTTCACAGTCGCTCATTTCCGGTCTACACCGCGAAGGCCCGGTCCCCAGGTGGACGCAGCCTCTGAATTTGGACACCCCCGGCCTGTTTCCGACATTTAAGCTTATTTTATCCGATAAATAAACATTGTAAAATTCAAGGTTTTTGTATATATATGTATATGTATACCCTGAATGTCTCCCTAATTCTGAGGTCTCAAGGTTGGCAAGTATGCCTGCAATGTATGGAAAAATTGATATGGCCAAGCTTTGGATTTTCCCAATAAAGGTGGTAACGATAGATACCAGCTCTATGACTGTAAACTTGGCGAGTGTGTCATAACTCCCCAAGGAGTAAAAACTGGGAAAATGTAAGGGGAGGTTTGGAAAGAGCTATGATTAACAACTGAGCAATAACCAGAAGATAATATTTAAAATGTAGATAATAGTCACGGGCTGGAAAGATGTCTTTGTCTTCATTCAGTTCACTTATTCAGTAAAATTGGGCCAGTTTGCAGAGATTTTTCTTTTAAATTTATAAATAAGACAACTGTTTTTACACTGGTTTTGCCCATGATGTTAGAGACATGTTAATGGAGAAGCCCCTGGATGAACACCCATTACCTTAACAGGGGTCACGGCCTGATCGGGGTAAGGCCGGCCAAGACCACCCCACAGGGACCGTGAGCCAGTAATTACCACCCACCACCTGTTTGAGGTGTTTCATTAACACGTACATGTACATTTGACATGATATTTTAAGTTCCTTTCAAAACTGTTCAAAAGCAAATGAGTCCAAGAAACACACTGCCTTCAGCAGAAGGTGCTGCCATTGAAAACAGTTCCCTGCAAAGTCTGTGGATTATCCTTAGAGATAATCCATGTCCAATTTATAGGCGCTGAGGCAAAAATACAAAGGAATTCTCACAAATACGTCCAAAGATATCTGCATGGATACCATAACTCTGCTGAGCAACAAAAATGTTTTTGTTCTATTGTTTTGCTATTTGGGTGCATTTGTTCATTTTTGAGAAACACTACAGTACTTGGACCTCATCCCATCATATAAATTCATTCTCCAAATAATATTTTTTTAGCAATCGTGTTTTGCTTGTAATTAAATCACTTTAAAGGGAATATTTGGATAATTTCTGATCTTATCACTAAAATACCAACTTTAATTTCTAAAATCAGAATGAATGAATCCAAACACTTACTCAGATGAATGCTCCACAGAGCCAAGTTGGAGGATAAACAATTAGCTGATGAGGCTAAAGATGTCAGTGACTTTGAACCATTAGTGGCTGACTGACCAGTTAAAAAGGTCACCTTAAATGACACTCTGTAAGGCTGAAGCTGACTGCTTGTGTGTAAAGCACATGGTGATCTCCCCTCATTTTAGCCATAAGCTGTTGGTCAGCTAGCCTCAGGGGTGGGTGCTAATGGATGCAAGTCATTAAAATCCTCTTTGCAGTCCCTTTTACACACACCATGCCTTGTGTTTCAGAACTGGGTGCCACCCGACCCTCCCATGTACTTCCAATGAGCCACAGCGACGCTGCCCCCTTCATCCAAATTACAAACTCTGTACTTGCTAGCGCGCTCGCTGCCACCCCTTAAAGCTGCTTAATTATGGTCATTGGCACCACGTCTGAAAGCTCCCTTTATCCCCCCCCACGCTCCAGAAATAGGTCTTGCTGAAGCACACAAGCAGCCCAGATCAAACACTCCCCATAGGGAAGGGGTCATTACTGGTACGCACGGCGGACACAGCCCAATGGGTGCCGGGCCACGCCTTGAGCCCAAATTGCAGCCTGGGCCTAGTGAGGACACAAGACTGCTCTTTGATGCACGGCAAGGGAAACAGCAGCACAGCCTATTTGGATATCAGTGTTTACAGTGAGCTATACTGTAAATACACACAAAAAGCCAATACAGCAGGCTAAAAGCTAAGAAAATTAGGCGCTAGGTTTAGTTGGGTGTCCACATGTTTTTCGTGATTTATATTTATCCGAGAGCTCTTGCTGTTTTACATAAGCAGCATGTGTAGAATGGCTTCCAGGTGACCGAACACTTATGTAATGAAAATATGTCAGATGACACATGAAAAGCTCTTGAACTTTAATTTCATTTGTCACAATGTATTAGCAAATTCAAGGATATAAAAGGATATGGGTAAGATGCTAGCTAAATAGCCCAAAGCTAATGTTTTTGGAGCATTAAAATAACCTGTTGTCACCAAACGAATAATTAAACTGCAAAGACAGCAACCTCAGTGTAGGTGTGTTTTCATGGCGGGCAGTGGCAGAGGTTATGGAGTTGGTGGCGTTTACCAGACAGTGCTGTCTCGCTCAGTTCCCCTGCACACAAGAAGACTGTTCATAAAAGGAATGTGTGAGTGTATGTATGAGTATGCGAATGCTTGTGTGTGTGGAGTGTCTCTGTGGTTTGTGTTTTTCCTTTACAGGTGGTTCTATCAACTTGTTTGTGTTCCTGGTCCTGTCTCCTTCCTGTGTAGGGATGGTTTGGTGATGTACTGGGAGGTGACAAGCAGTCAAACAAGCTCCTCTCTGCAATGATTTTCTGCCCCCCTCTCAGTCCCATTTTGGCTCCTTTATATTTCTCGTCACATTTCTCTTTGTCTTTGTTACAGTCGACCCACGCTAACACATCTATCTTCTTCTCTTTTGTCTCCTGAATCCCCTCCCTGCCTCCTTCGCTCTCCTCCATCCGTGTCTCTGTTCTCTTTCTCTCTCTCTGTCCCTGTCAGTCCTTCACCACAAGCATTTCCAGTGTTGGCACACCAGTGTTGACAGCCACCCTGAAAACAGTGCCACAACCATAATGAGCATGTTGAGTTCTCATAATAACACCAGAATAACCTGCTGGGGGAGACAAGCTCTTTAGGGGGCAGGCTCTCAGGCTTGGCTAGGCTGGAGTGTCAACACCACATAGATCTGCACTTGTTGAAGTGTGAAAGATGAAGGAAGTTTCCACACTATGTGCTGTTTTCAGACCGATTTCTGCAGTGTTTGCAATTTTCTTACTGTATTTTATGTTTAGGTTTAGACCTCTCTTAAGCTGATGCACATTTAATCTTACACAATGCCTTTGACACTGCCCTCCCTGTTTGGGGGTGGGGGAATATTTGCAACTTTATCACTCCAGACCTAAGGTTCACAATCACACAACATCTGAACAGAAAGCAGGACAACTGTAAAGTCAAATATGACTCCCAAAAACGTAAACATTTTGTAAAAAGTTTCATCAAAAGGTAAAGGCCGTCTTTATGTCATGTTGTGGTTTCATATGTGAAATGCCAATTTCACATTATAACTAGAAATCTTTAATCTTTAATAACTGATAACTTTGGGGCAGGAGAAACAACCTATAATGATCTTTTAAAGTACCACAGTGTAGGTTTTACACTGTGGTGGTTGAGATTGAAAGCATCTTAATATTTCTTTCTAGAAAGGCCCTCTCTAGAGCTTACTTTGTCCATTATGGTCTTGTGGCTCTGGATAAGTGACCAAAAGAACAAAATTGCAGGTATAAGTGATGTGGCATCAGGTCCTGAGAGATAGGGACAGGAGTTTGGTGATTGGCGAAGAACTTTGAATAGATCTGCTACGCTCCCACACTGAAAGACGCAGTTGAGGTGGTCTGAACATCTAATTAAGATTGCTCCTGTGTGCTTCCTAGATAAAGGATTCAGGCATGTTTTATCAAAAGGAGACCCCGAGGTAGACGCAGGACACACTGGAGAGATTACATCTCACAGCTGTCATGGGAACAGCTCGGGGTCCCTCCTGAAAAACTTGGAGAGAGTTACTGTGGAGAAGGAGGTGTGGGCATCTCTACTTGGACTGCTGCCCCTAGAATATGGACATGGATAACTGGCAGAAAATAGATGGATGGCTGGAATGATGAACAGTTGTGTGGAAGAAGACCTTCTCCTTTAAAATCAAGTGCTTGTTTTATGATATGTACTTACTTGTGGCAACAAAGTCTACTACACTTGTTTCTCTTTAAACTACCTGTTCCTTTGAAAGATGTGAAGCTTTTTAATTGTCAAATTCTCCACTCAAGTGACAGCCGGTGTTACTAAAAAATGAAGACAAAGTGCAAA